TAATAATTCTGTAGTATATTACTTGTGTGGTGTAGAGGATAATTATTTATGTAGAGATATTGCTTAGGATTTAAAAGTTGTAAGATGATGTCATGGGGTAGGACTAGATAAGTCTGACTTCTTCCTACTCCATTCAAGCATGTACTAGGTATAAGTAAATTGATATTGGATTATTATTGTTGGATATGTGTAAAATTACATGTGTTGACATATCAACTGTTTTACATGCTTGAAAGAATAAATCAAATCAAATCAAATCAACATCCTGAACTGGGAACTCAGCGTACCATAACCTGGGGCTTCCAAGCTGAATTTGAATGGCTGATGTGGTCCAGTCCGCTTTGCTTTTCCACTGTATTATACTGTTATACACCAGGGGGAGGCTGAGCACCTCACACACAGCTGAGTAGGCAGCTTCAGGTCACTGACCATAGTGTTACTCTTGCAACAAAATCTTGTAACACAGACAGACAGACAGTTTTTTTTAAACAACTGTTTAGCAAACAGAACACAGACTTGTAGAACATCTTCACCACTTTGCCCACAGGTCACTCACTGAAGTCACAGTTTTACCTTTAAATCTGTGTATGTTCACACACCATGTTTGTAATACTAGTACTTGAGCACCACTCCCCCTGTCAGTACCTGGAACTTGATTTAGTACTACTGTACCTCCTGAGGGAATCTGAAGTTAACTTATGGGAACTCGTTTCCAAAGTGAGCAGAGAACAGTGGAAACAAAAGCAGAACCCAGGACAAGGGGTACAGATTTCATTGTGGGTCAGTAGGTTCCTACAGTGGAAAAGGCCTAATAGTGTTTGTTGTCCCCCAGTGTCAGATAACTGGATGAAAATAATGAATAAATGTAAATAATAAAAATAATAAATGCACTGAATAAAAATGAATCCAATGGCAGATTCTCTAATCTGTGTTGCTGCGTCTTGCAGATGGAGGTGGAGTGTGCTCTGCTGGAAGGGGAACAGGAGTCAGAGATGGGTCAGCTGCAGAGGGAAAAGGAGCTTCTGGACCAGCTTAAGGAAAAGATTCATAGTACTGAAAAGACAAGCCACGGGGACAAGTCTCAGGTAGAAATTTGTAAAATTAGCAAAAATTACAATACAAGCATCACATTCTAGAGAGAGGTTCTTGCCAGATCATCTGAGATGACCCTGGATCTTTATTAGTTCAGGACAGTCAGAGGTGAGTAAGGAAAAGGCTGGCATCACGACTCATTGTGCAGACAAGGGTGCTTAATTAAATATTAAAGCTTCCCCTAGAATGGAAAACTAAAAATAACCTGAAACCGCATCATTTGGAAAAACATGAAACTTAACACATGCATTTCACATAACATCTGTTTTATACTGGGGTGAAATGCTTGAACCCTGAGTGTAAAATAGCATCAAACACTGTTCTGAAAACGCCATTGATGGATTTCTACGACAGCATGCATCTTACTAAACTGAATCTTAAAGCTCTCCTCTTGCCCTTGAAATAGATCCAATTCTTAGTATATTCTGACCTATTCATGTGCTTTTACTTTTAAAATTAGGATTCTCTGTATGCATATGTGGTGTTTCTCAGGGTGCTGAGGAGCAGACAAAAAGTTTGGAGGATCTGGAATTTCAGAAACTGGAGAGAGAAATTAATCAGGATGAGGAAAAAGAGAACCAGAGCCAAGAGGTGCTGCGAGAGATCGCTGAGTGTCAGCGTCTTACTGTCACACGCAAGGTACTGTGTGACTGAGTATGTAGCAGAGCATGTACGCTACATGTGACACTGCAGTTAATGCTGGCTACTGTATCACTCTGCAGTGTCTTAATTTTCAGTATCTACACTACTACAACAGAATGCGCTTTAGGTGAGTAGTCAAACCAAAGCCAAGACCAGATCTGAAAGGCCTGCTGTTAGTTAAGGTAGATGTTTAGTGTTAGGATGGACTCTTCGGTGCATGTTCAGTGTTACAATTTCTAAAACAAATTGTACTCTGTGTACATCATGTAAGAACTGTTTGATCCCATTTGATAATAATCTTTGCAAATCAAGTTGAAGCTGATATTGTGCATCACACCAAGTTGTCCTAATGGGGCAAAACAGTAAATCCAAGTACTAACAAACTCTAAAACTTATTATCTGCTGTGTTATCACAGCACTGCTTTGCTTCACACTTTATTAAAATTGCCAGATATTGTGTAATGACACTGTGCTGTTTTTTTTAATTCTCTCAGGAGAGACTAATGACTCTGAAGAAACAGTCCTCACAGATTACGTTACAGGCTCAGCAAGAAAGAGAGAATTTCCAGAGAGAGAAGAGCAATTTGCTCGTCATGCTTCAGAAGGTAGGAAAATTATTTGCTTGCTGATATTGTTAATATTTAATTTTATTTATTTGAAGACGCTGTCCTGATTTCTGCAGGAGAGAGAGAAACTGGTGTCTTTGGAAGGGAAGTATGCAGAGTTGTCTGAGGGGCAGAACTTCCCTAACAACCCTGTAGCCATCAAAGAGGTAGGAGTCAGATCATTTATATTTCCACAAGGATCGTGCACAGTGAATGACCAGTTTTAAAGCCCTTGCCATTTTTATCCTGTTTTATGCCTTGTGATGCCTTTCATTTCTGTGATTAGCATTTACACTCCCTGAAGGAAAGGAGAAAAAGCAACAAAGAAAACTCTTCCCACCCAAGTGACAGCCTCCCTCATAAGAGGAACCAGCAGCTCCTCACCTCTTATGGCAGATCTCTGGGGCGCACGATTCCTCCCAAGGTCATTACCTTCTATTCAAAAGTAATCTGAGTGGGCATTAAGGTTGAATGCAGTAGGATCAAACTGCCAGAGATTAACTATTGATCTTTAAAGAACTATTAGCACTCGATCTTATTTAAAGCATACAGCAAGAATTACCTAGATTTGAATAAAGCTTCAGAAAAACGGTTTCATTATGATGGTGCGCCTTCTGATTCTCAGACATGGGGATTTCATTGGTTATTTGCATCCACAAGCATTTGAGATTTTTGTCCCTTGAGAATGTTCCACTCAAACAGGAATTCTCATTTAGTCTTGCGACACCAATCCAGCTCATGAAGTGCTTTGTTAATTAGAGAAGCATGTAGTCATGTAAAGGTGCCTGTTCCTGAGCAGTCTGTGCTGCTGTTTCCTCCTCAGGCTCACTTGCCTCTGTCCCAAAGCTCCAGCTGTGGCAGTGTCATCCCTCAAGGTTTCAGTTTCTCCCCCCGGGACCTGAACACCCGCCGCCTGCCCAAGAGTGAGTAAGAGCACCACGCTGTCACATCTTGTCTGTAACAAATCTATACAGCGTGACCAGCTTTAAACCTTAGGTTGTATACTGTACTTGCATCAGGATGTGAAATGCTGTTGTGATTCAATAATCTTTAGCACTGCACAAAGGAAGCTACATTTAATCCAAATCCAATATTGGGGCCCGTCTGTTTATTAGAGCAGAAGTGATTTAAATTATACAAGATAGGAATTCGTGATTGAGACAAATTACTTGTTTATACCAGAGCCTTAACAGACAGGTTGAGACATTGCGGGGTCAAAAACGGCAGCAGGTCACGTTACTCATGTACCTTCAAATACTGTAGTTTCAAACTACAAATTTAGCTCCATAGTTTTCTGTAGGAAACTGAGATTTATCAGCAAATTACCATTTTGACTCCTACATCCATGCAAACAAATTTTGTTCTGTTGTAGATTCTCAGCTAATTTAGCTAGTTAACCAAGTACCTAATCTGTTAGTGACTATTTGAGAGCGACAGTCAAAAGGTTGTATGATGCGTTTTGACATGTCACAAGTATAACTGCTACTGATTTTAACTTCTTACTTTAGAAGATAGTCAAGATGATGCTGCTCCTAATGTTTGGAAGTAACATTCTCATGATCCCCATTACTGTTAAAAAATAAAGTCCTTGTAGAGTCAGTGGAGATGTCACTCCTTAAAATCCACTCTGGTTTGGACAGCTCAAAACAAGTAAAGATGTGTTAAACATGGCTGCATTTATAATCCTTAAAACTTTACAAAATGTCATTCAAGAAATGCATACGTTAAGCACTACAGCATTTGAATAAATTTTATGTATTCAAAGGTTTTCTTGAAGGTTTTGTGTCTGCAAACTACAAAACACTACTTACTACAATGACTATGAAAGTGACTCATTCTTTTTCTAACCTGCACTGTTTATGTTAGTGCAGTGTGAAAACTACACACTGATAGAGATGAACCCGATTAAAAGGCCAGTGTCACAGATTGTAACTAAGAGTCTTTATCAATGAGCTGGAGAGGGATGAGTGCTGGTAGCAGTGTAGCTCTGACAAGGCACGGTGACAGTAGACAAAGTCACTGAGGGAAGAAAACACTTGCTCCTCCACAGGCAGGAGTCCTGGTTTAATAGCAGAGTGGGTTCAGCAATCCAGAGAGGCAGATACTATAACTCACAGTATTACAGGGGCAAGGCAGCAGAGAAGTCAAGAATCCAATCCAAAAGCCTGATATTACAGTCCTTCAGAGACAGGGTAGGGGCATAGTCAAGCTGTCAATCCAAAGGTCTGACTGAGTTCATGGTCTTTCAGAGGCAAGGCTGAGACGTAGTCAAAATTCAATTCCAAAGGTCTGGTGTTACTCACAGTCTTTCAGGGGCAAGGCAATGGTGTAGTCATGGTTCAAATCCAAAGTTCTGGTCCAGTTACACAAAGGCACAAGAGATACAGGTACAGAATGACTGGAGAGTTGAACACACAGTCAGAACAATCTGACAGCTTCTCTGAGGGATGAAGCTGCTTATAAGAGGGCATGCACAGGCGTGTTCAATCAGGACAGGTCAGGATGGTTGGTGTGATGAAGTAAAGTGACTGGGAGTGAGAGCAGGGTGGAACAGGAAGTGTCTCGTAAAAATAAGAGCCAGTTACAGGAAGTGGAGCTGGAGTTCATGACAGTTAATCCTATTCACCTTTTACAACATGTTGACTCCCATTAAAAGCCCTTAGCTTTCTTTAGTTTGATGGATCACTATTATATGGCTCCGTTCCTGCAAACAGATTTTGTAAATCTACTATATGATTAGAAAATGCTCTCCTGTTTAGCCAAACTGAACTGCATTGTTGTTGCTGTGATTTGGTACGTTAACATAAGATCATGCAAGCTGAGGGTATTTTCAGTTTGTTTCTGTTATATTCTCCCCTGTGGGCAGGCAGCAGCCATGCACACATAAATGAAGAGAGACCAAGAAGAAGTGATTTTTGCAGCAGGATGGTGTCTGAGGCCAGTGTGTTCCTGGACTCCTTTTCTTACCCGGACAACAGCCAGGCCTCAGATACAGTCAGCGTGGACAGCTCTGACAGTCTGGAGACCAGCTTCTCCGCCTGCTCACCGGACAATATCTCCAGGTTAGAGAAGAATGATGATGATGTAAGATCAATTCGAAGAGTTAAAGCAGAGCCAATATGTGTGAATCAGAAGAAGAGGAGTTGTGTTTTCAGTAAATAACTGAAGAGTTAAGACAGATGTTCTGACAAACAGGAAGAAAGTGTTTTTGGTTTTTTTAAAGGCCTTAATGCTCCGTGTCAGATCAGTGACAATCATGTCCACGTTATGTCTAGCTGCTCTTTCTCTCTTTCATACACATTATCAGATGAATTCACTTTGTCATGTTTAAGGTGGACTTAGTTCATTATTAAAGAAGTCCCACATCATGGCAACATTACAACCAGGTTTTTTCCTTGGAATTTAAGCAAAAACCTGAAAACTTCAAACCTGCATTCATTTTATGTTGGGTATTTGTACAGATGAGTTTATTTGCAAGGTGTCATATGTTTGACAAATTGTGTTTCCATTTTCCATCAGTGCTAGTGCATCCAATATGGCAAAGATCGAGGAGATGGAGCGTTTACTCCGAGAGGCCCAGGCTGAGAAGGAGAGACTCCTTGAGTATCGGGTAATGTGCCAAACCTCACCAAAAAACCTATTGGGTATGGCCCAATCCTGGTTCTTATTTTTATCCTTACCCCTCCTCATTTTTGAGTGCTCCCTTGTTTTTGAGCAGTAGTGGCTGAAATCATCCCCTATGACCTGGGACAACTAGTGACCTCTGCCTCATCAGTAGTTAATGATGACAGTTAAATAAAAAGACGTGACGAACACGGAGTGCTGTCTTCAGCTGTGGTGATCTCTCTTGCACAGGCCTTAAGTATCAGCTTGCAATTTTCAACAGCAAATAAAAAAAATGTTCCTGACACCAGGGAATGTAGGTGGATTTGTTTGAGGTGTGTAGCATCTATTGCACATACCTTTTGTTGTAGTTAGCCTCATACCACCCAGTTTGGAGCCTGCCTCTGAAAACCCTCCATTTGAAAGGCTATGCAGCCCTATCACTTCGCTCTATCCCCCATCCTAAAGAGAATCAGGACACCCTTGCCACTACAAAACAGAGGGGTAAGGCTAAGAGGTAGTGGCAAGGACTGAATTGGGAGTGGGCCTATGTGGTTGTGAGTGTCTGATGATGGATGTAATTTACTGTATGTGTCAGGAGCGTGAGATGGAGATACGCAGGCAGGCACTGGAGGACGAGCGGAGAAGAAGGGAGGAACTAGAGAAACGACTGCAAGAGGAGACAAGCAGAAGACAGAAACTTGTAGAGAGAGAGGTGAAGCTCAGAGAGAAACAAAGATCACAGGTAATCAGAACTACAGAGAAGAAGAGGTTGAAATCTTATGTCTTTTTTTCATTACTAGCTTCATGTAAATAATTCTTGAAGAAAGTAGAGTACCATGTTTATATCTGTTAGGTACTTTCATTGCTTGTTTCCATAGTCCCGGCTGTTGACCCGCTACCACCCTGTAAGAAAAGATGATTTTGATCTTCATGACCACATTGAGGCAGCTGGACACAACCCGGACGCTTGCTTCCATCTGGCCATCACTGATAAAACCTGTCGAGGCTTCCTGATCAAAATGGGCGGTAAGATCAAAACCTGGAAGAAACGTTGGTTTGTCTTCGACCAGAATCGCAGGACACTCACCTACTATGCAGGTGAGCACCTCCTCCTCTCAGTTCTATGTTGAAAAGGTACAAAATGTGACACAAACTCACTGCAGGCCAGGCCATTTTGAAGCTATGCCAGGATACGTTGGACACTGAAAACAAAGTTTGATCACAGTGTGAAACAGTTCTGTCTATATTCTCCTCTGCAGACAAACATGAGACCAAGATGAAAGGAGTCATTTACTTCCAAGCCATAGAGGAAGTGTACTATGACCATTTAAAGAATGCACACAAAGTAAGTCAGTTTATATTCCTGCATGTTCGTGTCTGTGATTTTTAGCATCGAGCATCGTCTTACACCTGCTCCATTCTTTTAAAATTTTGTTGACCTCCATTTGTCCTCTGCTTTTCTCACCCAATTTGTCTCCCTCCCACATATGCATCTCCTCATCCCCCTCTTCTCTATTCTCTGTTATTTAAAAAAAATCTTAAAATTACACTCACTTCCACACCCAAGAGCCCCAACCCTTCGCTGACCTTCAGTGTGAAGACCCACGATCGGGTGTACTACATGGTGGCTCCATCTCCTGAGGCCATGCGTATCTGGATGGACGTTATTGTTACGGGTGCTGAAGGACACATGCATTTCATGTTGTAACTGATCCCAGCAGACCAAGATCCGCACTGCTGTGCTTCTTTGCTAAACTTTATGTGACGTGAAAAGATTTACGGTGCTCTGTTTGTAGAGCTGAGATGTGTGTTCATTAAGGCAACTCAAAATGAACTTCTGTTTATAGTTGTAGTATTTGTAGCCTACAAGGACAAGCCATGCTCAGAAGCACATTTTATGGTGTAATCATGTTTAAGAAGTCAAAAGGATTTATATACAAATTTCATAATTAAGCTACAGTAATTTTTTAAAATGTGCTTATGTACTGTGAGTAGCAGAAGCATCACCAAAACTTGTAATAATTTAGCTTTATTTTTCCAACTTCTTTATGCAAAATCTCTGCTTTATGTTTAAATCATCAGAAACAACATCTGCCACACTGCTACATTGTGGTACACATAGATATCACATCTGTCTAAAGCATGACAGGTTTTTCACAGCTGTGATTTACTTATCCCACATTTTGTACTGTAGGTCCACCTCTGTTTCTTTTACTTCTCTTTCTTCCATTCTCTCTCTGTTTCTTGTTTGACTCATCTTTTTGGCATTTCTGTATCTTACTCAGACTGAATTTTATTTCCTGTGAGCGTCAGGCTCTGTTAGTGCGTTACAACTTCTCGATCATCTTTTCCCAGATAATACATATAACCCCCTCTGTATTTGTAGTTGGAAGAAAGCACATTTGTCTCTTGACTCAGATTTATTACTTCTATATTGTCTTTAATATCCAAATGCTTTATTTTCCTCACGTATTTTGATTGCTGCTGCCAGGCTACCAGCATTAAGCCGGCCTTCCCTGCCTATTTAAAGCAGGGAGAATGTCATCATACATATTTTTTCAAACCACATGCATCACTTTTATGCCAATGAGCCTTGATTTGAGCTTATCTTTGCATAAGCAAACTTCATTCATGAAGGAGAAATGATTATAGGCACATTTTTTCATTTTATTTTTAATTATTTGTAATTGTTGACAAATGTTTTTTACTCAGCAAAGTAGAAACTTTGCCCAAATTACAGTGGTACTGTGTTTCCTGCCTACTACTGTGCAAGTCTAGCTCCATCTGTTCATAATGGAGGCTGCGGGCCTGATATGACGAGGCCATGTTGTGCAGCAGTGATGCAGTATGTGCCGCATCACCTGCGTGTTCTTACACTAAAGCATTTCATTATTTCCACCAGCAGAGGTCCTCACAGAGTTGTTGCACTGATATGATGTAATGCAATGGCTGGTCGGCCCATAATGTGCCTGCTAAAATAAATGAGCACTTACTATGCTTATCAAAGTCGAGATTTGCTTTTTGAAAGCAAAATCAAAATCATCCTGTTTAGGATTATAAACACCAAATGATTTTCATGATTATGTTTTAAATGTGTCAAAAATAACACATTTCACCTGTAAACTATTGGACTCTTTACAGTAGTCTGACTGTAATTGATAATGAAAGCCCACTTTACCACAGAGTGGCCAACAGGTTTACACACTGCACTGCTTGCTGTTTGTCTTGTGCTGGTTCAGTCCTGCAGAGCTGACAGTGTTACAGATGAGTTGCCTTTGCTGGATGTGTTTCAGTGAACAGCGCTATCTATCAGGTAAAGCATTGTTCACTCTATGAGACACAAGCCTTGAAACCAAACACATTTCTGCATTTATATACAGCAGGCCTATGTAGTTTTTGAATACATTTAATATTTTATATTTTGCATTTGAATCATTGTGATTTGTTGACACAATGCTACAGCTTTTATACTCAACTTAGCATGAATAAATATTTTAGGAATATATACGTATCTCTGAAATGTTATGGTTACTTATTTTGTCTGATGAACATGAACATTATATTTTACAGGGCTGTGAAAACCTGACTGCAAGGGCTTTTTAAAGCTGACATTTTCTTTGTATGCTGTAGCACTAAAACGGTGCTATAAATCCCACCATGGCACGAGAGTGTGTTTTCCCATGGATATTGAGTACCTTAGCATTATTTTTACACTGTTTTGTAATGTATCACCATGGGAATGAGTGGCCTTATTATTTAGAGCTGCACAATGCCCCTGTGGTGCAGTGTAACTTAATCTTTTCATCAGATTTCTTAAAGGAGTTTGCCTCTTATTTATCTTATAATAGCCTTGATAATACCACTGTTACGGTGGCATGTGTGATACTTCATCAGTCCCGATTAAATCTGAAGAGTATCTGAAATGTCTCAGAAATTCAAAAACAATATTTTCTGGGAATGAAATCCTGCCTACAGTGGGGTGCAGCCTGTTTTAAAAGATAGAAGAGCTGTAAATCTCCACATCTGTTTTTTACATCATCGAGCTATTCGATAAATGCATCTCTTTTAGTCATCATTGGTGTAGCTGTGTGAGGGTATGAAAGCTCTTGATCAACAGTTTCACTGCATCCACAGACAGAAAACCCAGCCCTGTTAATCAGTAGTGGAGGAAGTATTCCCATCCTTTACTTTCTTTAGTATAAGCACTAAGCTCCATTACAAATACTAATTCTCCTCCATTACAAAAGTCCAGCACTGAAAATGTAACTTAAGTAGAAGTATGTAAGTATAATCAGGAAAATGTACTTTAATTATTAAAAGTTAAAGTTCTCATTACACGGTTATACTATTATACACTATACAATATTCATCAATTAATCAATTTATTTGTAAATCTATTTGCTTTGTAACACATGCAGAAATTAGTGAGAAATGAAGTCACAATTAAGCTGAGCAAAGTGAAACCTTCAAAATATAGCTTTCAAACACAAGATCTAAATAAAGGAAGCATAGCAAAGTGCTACATTTGACTAAATGACTAATTGTTTCAGCTATACTTATATATAATGGTATAAATCAAGTAAATCTGTTAAATGTATTGCAGTAAAAAGTAAAACATGTCCCTCTGAAATGTAGTAAAATGTAACAGAAATGGGAAAGTAATGTACAAGGAACTCAAAACTGTACTTCAGTGCAGTACTTGAGTACTTATATTCAACCACTTGCCTGGTTTAATCTAAGTCAATGTGAATGCATTTTTTACAGAAATTGATAATGTTATGCAAAACAATCCCCCAATGTACTGTGAAGCATTATTATGAAACACAGAACTGTCATAACCTAATAATTCCATTCAAATCAGCGTATTACAGTAAGTGTTATTTTGTCTTATTAGCATGTATAGCATGAGTGTGCTCATTAAATCACACGTTTCCTCCTCCCAACATTTACAGCATTTCATTGGTTGACCTAGTGGGGGTTGGCATGGAAACACACAATGAAGCAGGCTAAATTGGGCTCTAAAGCGGCACATCTTCTCTCTGCAGGCAGAAACAGACATAAACACACACAGACCATAGAGAGCCAGGGGTGGTCTGTGTGCATTCTGAGTGCTGTAATTTTAGTAACATATTTGGGGCCAGGGGCTGCCCTAAAGACAGTGCAGCTGTGTTTGCAGGGAAACACACAAACAAACAGAGCTACTCTGAGACAGTTTATGCAATGTACTGTGGCTCAAATGCTGAGTCCAACATGTTTCCAGGCATGAAAACCACACTGAATTCATGTGAATGGATGGTGACAATAGGCAACAGTCACTGAATATGCCCGTTTCAGTTTCCTTGTTAAAAACTGCAGGAATCCTATTTATATAAAATGTTTCCTGTCATAGAGGGCACAGCATAATTTATCATGATGTGAGCCCTCATAGCCTGATTTAGGCTTTAAGAAGCATGATTATTGACCTATGTGCTGTTTTAGCTGTGATAATTCTAAATCAGAGGAGTTAGCAAGAAGCACACAGTGTGTTGTGTCGGGACCTCGGGGTAAATGTGATCCTTTCTCAGGGAGATGGTTTTACGCTCTGTAGTCTGTCTCAGCACCTGACATAGTGAAATACTTGTGTTTTACTCAGGCAAATGATGGCGCTCTCTTCTCAGCTTGTAGCCTTTGGCCTCCTGAAGTAAACAGAAGTCCTTCTGCGTCACCTCCGCAATTCACCCTTCTTGTTTAGTTTTTATGCTTTAACACCAAATTATTCTTAACATTACCCATCTTCCCATCCTTAGCCTGTGGTTTTATTCTCATCAGAAGCTTTTAAACATTTAGTGTGTGTGTTTTTATGCAACATTGTATATAGTTCTTATAATTCACTCTAGTCTTTTATGTTCCAATCATTTGTTGTTTCTACTTATCAAAGTAATACTAGGGGTCCAAATCAAGTGATTCACCTCTGTCCAAAGGGAATTATTTAGCAATAAGAATAGGAATGCACACAAATTCATAAACCCCTTTCCCTTGTAGCAGATTGGCCAGGCTCCACTGACATTCATGGGCTTACTATTCAGGTCAGTGAACTTGGAGTGCGGATGATGTGGCAATGATGTTGCAATGAGGACACACACTGAAACCAGACTGTAGTAAGATGCTAAGCCACATAAAATGTTTGTCATTTTCTTTTCTGATCCTTAACCTTTCTCTAGACGACAGTTATGCAGTTTCCTTTGTTGAGGAACTAGAGAGAGATATATCTCTATATAGTACAGAGCCAGTAAATCCTGTGCTCACATATCTGTCTGCAAACTGCCACAATATTTAAAGCAGGATATAATTCACAACTTAAACGAATCTCATCTTGCTAGGTTTTATTGATTAAATAGGAAACAGGACAACATAGATGAGAGTATACACAGAGATGTTGTTCTCATCTGAGTATAAGTGGAATAAGGATAAGTATATGTGCCAGTTTACAAGCTGGAGATCTCATCTCAGCATCCTTTGTCTCGTTCAAACGTCCATATCGCCATTCATAATGGCTGCTGTTCACTGTCCAGTTCACTGGAAGGAGTTATTTCCATTTCTTTCAAAGCACAGTCTCTCCCACAGCTCACAGTGAGATCTGATCACATCACATATGAGCAGGTGGACACAGGCGAGGTACAGTTTAACATCTGGTGCAATTGCACATTTTCTGCTACATACAGTATATCCAGAGATAGGTATGGAATGTAAATTTGGTTGTTGCATTTATTTATAGAGCTCCAGCTGTTCTTCTCCTGACGTAAAGAAAAGGTAAAGGGACTGGTTGTTATTATTATCATAAAGACTTACTGGAAAGAAAGACAAAAACATTTAACGGTTCCTACAAAAAGTGGAAGTGACAAAAGTTAAAAGCACTGTAGAAAATGCTGGATAAATTCTGAGTCTGTAGGAAAAGCACCCTTAAAAGGCACTCACCCATGTTGTGTGTGTGTGTGTGTGTGTGTGTGTTCCCAGAAGACCTTTTATTTTGCTTATCTTTAGATACCGATGCTCCTGCCGTGTGTTCAGGTGTGACCCTGAACCTTTCCTGAGTGCATGTCCAGTTGGCTCAGCACCAAAGAGTCGGGCTTGTTGCTTCGGCTCCCTGTAGAGATGTTTTGTGCTTGAGTGCTGTCAGCCTCCTTGACTCTGTTATTGTTGCTTACGGTGTAGTGAAGCCAAAAGATGACAAGAGAGAGAGACAAGCCAAGAATTACAGTATAGAACTATGGATTAAAAAGAGGGGGACAGTTACAGTCAAAGCCATAATCTCTTTCACTGACTGATTCAGTCCGGTGTCTTATTTTCTTATCTGGGAGCTCCCTCCAGAAGCTGTGGGTTTATTTCCAACCCTGCGGACTGGAACCTTAGACACAGGTATCTTGGTGCGAGGGGGTTCTTTAGCTTGAGAGATTTGGGATGTGCTGTGCTTCACAGGAATCTTTGAGTCACGTGATAAGCTGGTGGGGGCTTTTGGCTGGAGCTGCTGCTGACTCTCCTCCTGGGTGTGTTTTGAAGTGAGCACATTAGCCTCCACATCACAGACTTTATCTTTGTTCCGTCCATCATGTGAGTTGAAATGGGGCCTCTCTTCTTCTAGCACTGGAGTAGGTGGGTCTCTGCTTGCTTCGTCATCAGCGTGTTGGCTGTCCCGGACAGGTATTTTGCCTGCTCGACCCCCTCCAACTACAGGAATTTTGCTTAGTCCTGATGTTTTTACTTTTGGTGTCCTCCTTTCTTTCAAAGGGCCCTGGTGGCTTGTTGGTGTCTCATTATGCAATTCTTCTATTTTGGACAGCACAGTCTCAACCCCGTGTGTACCTGTGCTACTTGGACTAGTCAGTTGTCCATCACCTGATGTCTGTCCACTTCCTCTCATCTTAGCAGAAGCTGGGGCTTCACTCGGCCCAAGTGCAGGGGTAGAAGGAAGAGAAATGACAGGGTAAGGGGTAGGGGGAGGTTTAGACTCTGAAAATGGGATTTGAGCAGGAGCAGGAGAGTCTTTAGATACAGAAATTGGGATTTGAGCATGAGATGAAGGGTGTTTAAATTGAGAGACTGGGATCTCACCCAGAGCAGGAGATGTTGGGGATGCTGTAGAAACAACAGCATGAGTGGGAGGGGCTGGGGTCAGTGTTGGAGCAGTGGGAATTTTATCTAATGAGATTGGTGCAGGAGTGGGTTTAATTGTGGAAGGGACCTTATCTACAGAAGCTGATGATAGAGTTGGAACAGAAGGAAGGCTGGGCTGGAGCTTACTTGAGGTAATTGGAGCAGAGGAAGGACAAAGATCTGGAACTGTTGCAAGAGAGGGAGGGCTCTTATTTAAATCTGTTAGGGTAGAGGTGCGAGTAGGCTTGGAAAGGTCCTCAGATGCTGAGCCTGAGGTTGTAGTTGGTGTGGGAGCTGTTGTTACCTTGGAGGGGATGACCAGTCCAGTTGTAACAGTACAGGCTGGTGATACAGTCACTGGGGTTTTAGATTCTCCTGCAGTCAAACTTAGGGAGGGTTTATAGGAAGTGAAAGTTTGCACGTTCAGACTGCTATCTGAATCCAGTTTAACAGGTGGAAGTTGGGTAAAGGAAACAGAGGTGGGAGGGCTATGGGTTACTGGTGGAGGTTTAGCTGTTGCAGGAGGTGGAGTAGCTACTATGCTAAATTTACTTACTGAAGCATTAACTTGTGGAGGCGCTGCAATTTCTGATGCCAGTTTACTAGCTGTAGAGGTAGGGGTTGGACTAATTGTGGGATCCTCAATTACAGTGGCTGAGGTGCTTGGAGGACATGTGGTAGTAGTAGAGGTGGAGCTTGGTGTGGATTTAATTATCAAAGGGGAAGACATTATTCGAGCAGAAAAGCTTGTTGATGTTGCAGGTGTAGTTGAAGCTTTTGTTGCTGTGGGCATAGGAGCTGCTTTAACTGTAATGCTGGTGGAAGGCTCAGGGACTGGAGTAGAGTCCGAGCTCAGTTTGACTGAGTGAGTCGTTAAAGTGGAAGATTTGGTCAATGTCATGATGATAGGACTCGGCCTGGCAACGGGAGAAGAGGTGGAAGTTGCCTTTGTCAGTGGAGTAAAGGACTGGGTCACAGCTGCTGTGGGGACGGCTACAGGGGAGGGCTTTGCTGTAAGAGCAGTGCTGACAGAAGGGGAAGTTAGCGGGGAAGAGAGGGTTGCTTTGGAGGAGAGACATGTGGATGATGGCATGACTTCAGTCACCACAGCACTGATGGCACTGCTGGCTTTCCCCCACTCTGCCTCCACATCAGCCATGATGTCTCCACCTCCTGTGATTGAGTCAAAGGTGAGGAGAGAGGAGATGTCTGCCAGCAAGGAGCTCAGGCTGCAGTCACCAGGCACCAGTGGTGGCTCAGAGATGGGTGAATGTGGCACATGCTCATTCATTCTACTCACATTGCCTGCTGTCACCTGGGGAGTTATGGTCTCTGAAGGGGGTGTGGCTGCACTGTCTTGTGTTGTTGAGCTCTTGTCAAGCTCACAGGTCTCAGTCTCAGGGCTGTCCAGAAAGCGAGGCTGAGATTTGGGGGTGAGTGAGAGGTCCTCTTTGATGATTTCCACACTGTTGGTGCGGGACGACATGAGAAGGGGGATTGGTGGGGCGTCCTCCTTGTCCTCTTTATCTTTTGATCGGAACTTAACATTACCAAAGAGACCCTTCAGCCCACGACGTTGCCAACCCACTGGCTGGGACACGGTGTGGACTCGGCGGTCCCCAACCCCTCTCCGGCCACCCCTCAGTAATGACAGGAAGCTGAGGGACTTGGCAGAGCTGGTTGAACAAATGGAGTTGCGAGCAGCGGTGGCAGCCAAAATGCCATCTTCGCCAAGCGGCTCCTCCTCTGCCTGCTCCCTCTCTCCTTGACTCACCTCCTTTTCCTTGTCTGGCTCCTGCTCCGAATCTCGGCCAGTGGTCTCTGATAATCCATCAAGGGTTTTGCTCCTGATAGGTGATTTGTTGTTTCCATCCCCTTTGCTTCGAATAGAAGAAAAGATGTTACCTGGCTTGCGTTTGCCAAACAGCTTGAATCCTTTTCTGATTTTTCCACTTGGCTGGGATTCACAAGGCAATGGATGCAATGGATCCGTGTTCTCCGTTTGTACATCCATCTTTTCGCTGTGTCCTCCTGTCACTTGCTGCACTTATTATTCTCCAGCCAGTGGAGTGAACATTTATATCTGGCCCGTCTCTTTATCTCTGTCTGGACCCTTTCTTTACCTCTGTAGCTCTCAGTGTGATTCTTTATCGGTTGTCTGTATCCGTCCTTCTGTCTGTCTTTTTCATCCAGCTCTTTCTCCTCTATTTCTCCCTTGAAAGCCCCTCCCCTTTGCCTCGTTTTTGTCTGGCTGCTCACTCCAGTTGCCCATAGCAACCGAGGATCTAAGCGGCTTTCGTCAGCATTGCAGAGCCAGGGGCTATCGTCAGCCTCTGTGAAACATAGCTTTCTCTTCCTGTCTCTCTTCCTCATTGTCTGATGACTCTGTTTACATAAACAGCCAAGACAAATGCTCCATTTAATAGGGCCAAATACTGAATTCCAAATGATCGGGTTTAACATAAACATCTCTTCCAGATTAATGCAATGTACCTCTATGTGCAGCCTAATAACATGTTTAATAATGGGACAAATTTGCTTTTGTTTTAAGTAAACTGTTCCTATTAACATCTAGTGTGTCACAGCAACCAACAGGAATTCATCCAGATTTGTTAACAAATTTTAAGTTTTATTAAAAATGATCAAATCAGCTTGACACAATTTTAGAAACACTTATGGTCATAAAGTGCAATAATTTTTTACATTGAAGTTTGTGCGATATTTAGAATATTAACCTATATATTTTCCACTTTCAGTCTATCAATTGAACTGCATGTTACTTCAGAACATGTAAAAAATAATGCTGTGGTTCCTGTAAAGTATAAATATTGATGTTTTTATAGGTAAAATCTAATTGTGAACAAAGATCATGAAAACAAACAAGCCACTGAGGGTGTTATATAGTGTAATTGGAAATGAATGAATAATTTTATTTTAATGGAATGAGCATGTTAGTTGCTCTTATTCTCTGATATGGTCAGTATTATTATGGGTAAATGTTCATTTGAGCATTTATATAATTAAGATCTTCAGTGTCTGAGATGTGATTTTTTTATGACTCTACTGTCACATGCAATCTTCTAATTCATGCACTGCTCAAGCCAGAATTACTTTTCATTCATTCTAGTTTTCAGGTGCTTGACTGGACAAAATGTTGTTGACTATAAGTTTAATGAATATTCTGCTTGCTGTGGACAGGTATTAATAAATTACTTTTTTTTTTTTACTTTGTTAAGAATATCTAATTTGTGAGACTATTTTAAATTGTTAAAACAAAACAAAAACAATTTCACCTGTTCACATAGAAGTACAACCCATAATGAGATATTTTGCTTTCATCCTGACCCATAATTTGCCGATATAATGGCTATTTCCTGTAATATCATTGTGGCCCATTTGGATTAAATAAGAGTATGGATTTTTTGTTTGTTTATTATTCATAAATAAATTAGTCATGTGAGGTAAGGAGGGGTGATTGGTTGTTATTATCAGGTTACTGAAAGTAAAGTTGGGGTGGCACAAGTGTAGCCTCTTGTGGTTGCATGAGAAACAACATGTGGCAATAGTCGGCTGTTAAATATACACTGTCTAAAAATAAAGCTGCCATCTCATCCATGTCTTCTCTGGCCCAAAAAAGTCTGAGTAAGTGGGTCAGCAAACTTTGAACAAATCTGGCTGCCAGTCTTTGTTCACACAGCTGTACAGGACAGTATGCCTTCTAAAAACTTTAGTTTATTTTTACAGAGATGAAAAGATGTGAGATTCACACTAAAACGGAACCATAAAAAAACTGGAGTACAGAATGTCAGACCCTCTTGGTATATTCTTCTTAGTGAACAATAGAGAGAATGAATCATTTTTGTTAAATTTCATGGTACTTAGATTCACCATACAGTAGGTGCAACCCATGCACAGAATAAATACATAACCCACTCTACAACTGTGTTTTACTGCTCACTATACTGCAGTCTGGTGTTATTGTAAGCCTTACGTTGATATCTCCACACTTTGACCAGAGTCAGTGTTATTGTGATGATGACATTCCTCTGTCACAAATATACAAATAAATAGGTGGTTTTATTGACTGTTCTTGGAAAACATAAAATGTTGTTCTTCCACACTTGAATATTTCTAAGCCTGTATAATCTCAGTCCAAAGATCCATTTGCTAATTTTCAGCCTTTCAGTATGACATGCATATACAGTACACAGTTAGGTGTTACATTCTTTGTGTGGTAGGAAGTCCCTCTCCTCCAGATCCTAGTTACAGGCTGAAAACCCCCCACTTGCACTCCAATGTCAGCTCTGTATCTTTTGATACACGTAAAGTTTAAAGTTCAGTTACTTTCTCTTTTCAGAAAATGCACATACGTACTGTGTGAAAAGTACAATGAAAGTCACCCAGGGAGTAATTTGATCCAAAACAGAGAAAGAAAACTACATTGAGTGAGCGATGGAAGGAGGTCAACAGTTATAACAAATGAAATAAGTCTGACTATGCGCTGACTTCGAGGCTTTCATTGTCTTCTTATTCAGATATCATGCTCCACGACAACATCCTGCAGGGCAACTTTGCTGTTCTGGTCGTTGTCATGTTCCTCAGAGGGAAGTGTGTCATATGTACGACGGAACAAAAACCGATTGACCAGAGTAATGATAAACATCTCCATGATCATCATCTGCTGACTCAGCACTGCAGAACGGAGAGCACAATTAAAAAACCAAAGTTACAGATGGATTATTCCAATTTCTCAGGTGCAGAAAGACATTGAAATATTTTTCTTACTGGATCCACGAGCTTGAGAAGAAAAGGGAGGAGCACAGGCGATGGTTCCATTTAAAGCCAAGATGTTAATGATTGATGTCTGCAGCTGACTCAGTACAAGTACTAGCTAAGGAGAAAATCAGTACTTGATTAGTTACATATATAGTATTTAAAATGCAGTGTAAGATCTCTACAAATCAATATTTTTTGCAACTACAGCCAAGCAATCTATAAATACAAAATGTCAAAGTTTCTTTTTGAGATTGCAACTGACATACAAAAGGAAATGGAGGTGCTGACTTACCTGATACATGGCGTACTTGGGTATAATATTGAGGCTGCGCAGAAAGCTGTTGGTGTTCATGAAGATGATGGCAACAGGCCAAAGGGAGATGATAGTGAGAATGCCTATAAATGGGTTAATCCAAATAGCTGTGCCGGTGATCTGTAGCTGAAAAAGAAACAAAGACATTTAAATTTGATGTTCATTTAACTTTCACTATAATCAGATATATAGAGAAGTGTTTCAAAATACTTACATCCGAAAGGCTGAAGTTGCCGTTTGTCCACAATATTACAGAGAGGACAGAGAGCGCTGTCTTTAGGATTGCATACTGAAGAGCACCCAACTTCAGCAAGAAAAACATTCGCCTGAATAATCCCAGCCAAAGAAAAATCCCCATTAGATTATGTGCAGTCTATAACTATGAATGAATATAAGCCAGGACAGTAGTGCACAGACTGTATTGTGTAAACAGTTAGAAATACCGTGACATGGGCACACGAGGTAAACAGGGGCAGCAGCAGCAGCAGGGTCCTGTGTTGATCCTAAAGGTTTTACCAGTGAACTGCTTCAGAAAAACACTGCTGCCCCCGAACTCCTCAATCATCAGAACCAAGACCTTATACACCACCACTGCAAAATAACTACAGAGAGAAAGAAAAGGAATGTAGGCAGTTTACAGACAGTTATGTAGAGTAGGTATGTCATCTTTTCCAAAAATCACTTTTATGGACTGCTAAACTTCATGTATGTATGTATGTATGCATTAATTACATAAAAACAAACTTACTCTTGACATGTGAAGATAAACTTTAACAGCTTAAAGATGATAGACTTTTGACCCAGCTGCTAAATATGATGATATATAGTGTATAAATCTGAAAACGCTAAATTTACCACTAGAGATGACAAACGCCTTTTACAAATTTAATAAATTTTATCAAAGTTGAATGCTGGTTGGAGATATGAATGGATAGATTACTGAGCTGACCCTACACCCTCGGGCTCCTAGGCCAGAACCTCTGTTAGAAGTAACATTTCTTGTTGGAAAGTCAATCAAATGACTTGAAAAAGACACAAAACAAAGAGGCTCAGAACTGCTACATAGATGTGCTGAAGGACCCCATAAAGACAATAACAACCTCACAGAGTCACAAAAATACTGAAGACACGCAAGATGTGCAGAATGAGCAAACACGCAAAATGAAAGCAAAGACTCAAAATAACTACAATGAGACAAAAATGAATGAGAAATAGCTGCAAAACAATTGCAAAGAGACACAAAATGATTGCAGATAAAGAAAAATGGTGACTGCTGTGTTGTTCGTAGCCATTTTGCCTCTTTCTAAAGCTCCGCTGTAGGAGGGGTGGGGGCCTTTTACATGTCTGTGCCCAGGGGTCCTTTGTCTCATAATCCATCCATGCAGACGTGGCCTTTGATTTTTGTGTGCCTAATGATTCAAGTGGTTAAACTGTACTACTGTCAAATACTTTTTATGTTTACTCTCACTGAAAACATTATTTAACTGATTGTAGAGAGATTGTCCTGACTGTCTAACAGAGACAGGCATGGAGGATTAGGGGGACATTGTCTTGCTAAGAAATTCAGGACTGTTTGATTGAACCTTAGATTAGTGATGACTTGTCCAACAAAAGCTAAACGTTTGTAGGTTTTTTAGCAAGTTGCATTCAGGCTTCTGTACAATGACACCCTATCTGTTTCAAAGCCACATAGACTGCTGAGATAAATACAATTAAAGCTATCTGAAGGCAAATGTAATAGAGATGATATTATAACCTAGAAGCTGAAATGTCAGACAAGATAAGAGTAGTGGTAAGCTCCCTGCCAAGTGGGACTATAGCTACTGGTCACAGTGCAGCTACAAGATAACAAACATCACACAAACACTGGTTACTTTTTGGGTAAAAGAAACACGGAAGATAAATGAAACATTCATAAATAAAAATAACTTAGTTTGTATTTAATAATGGCTCCTATTAGAGTTACTAAAATGCTTTGCCCTGTGTACTAGTTTAGGTGTGTCTGAGAGAAACGGACCAGTTAGATGTCATGTCTGTGATCATCACTGCCTTTGGGATCCACATCCCAAAGCAAGACATGATCGCAATCACCTGAAACAGAAAAACACTGTAATCAGTATTTAAAAACACACACACACACACACACACACACACAATTATATAATCAGCAGTGTGTTAATATTTTTCTGTTTCAGTCAGATTTTGTGTTATATTTAGCCTTGTGCTTGAGTTCTTGACATTTCATCACAGTTATGTTTTTACTCGTTTTATAAACAACAACATATTATAACATCAAAACAGGCCTGAATGCTTACTGGTGCTGCACCAGTTATCCAAATGATGGTTGTCTTCTTGGGGTAGGGCAGGTTTTTATAAATATAGAGGCATTGCTCCAGGTACACCATCAGGGACATGCAGGACATGATGGTGAGCACACCGTACAGACAGAGTCCAAATGCATCTAGCTCTGATTTAAAACAATGAGACAGTGAGAGAGAGAGAGATTACTTTGAAAGGTGCACTAGGAATGAACTAGGAATATAGTTTGCTGAGTGAACAGTTATTAGCTCAGATTGGCTGATAAGGAAACATGAGTAAGCAGTCTGTACTGATGATGTGGGTCACTTACGCTTTATCACATCGATTGCCAGTGGGGGCCCTTGTAAGCAAGCCGGATCAATGGTGCTGTTGAGGGCTTCCTCCATGGCTTACGAGTATTCCTCTTCAGAAATTCACTAATAGACTAAAGCTTAAAAAGAAGTTGTCTAGGATATCTGAATAAAGCTCCAAGTGTTTCAGTAAAACCTGATCAGCAGTTTGAAATTGTAAAACAGCAAAGGTCCGCTTAAATGATTGGCTTTCCCTTTACATTACAGTGTCCAGAAGTGAATGAAGAAGCAGACTTGCAACAGGTGTACTTTACCCTTTACAGTAGGTTATGAGGCGTGAAGATGAGAAGAGCCTTCAAATTTATGAGAATAATTTCCAAAGTGTTACTCATTCATTCACAGGCTTAAGTTGCAGTAATCAAAATAGCACTGAGGTCAGAGTTTTAGTTAAAGGTGTGACCTACTGACTGTCAAGAAATATTAACCTTGACAGCGTGTGTTGTGTCCTTCCCAGTAATTGTATAAGCGTATTTAAAAAATTAGCTACAATATATATATTTATTTGTATATTATACAATTTTACTTCAGTGCTTTGACTGCACACATAGTACTTCTCAATTAAATACATTTTTTGTTGTTATATTTAATATTTGCCACAAATTCCCAGAATATGACAATAGATTTATTTAGGATTATTACTATAAATAGCATATGGTTAGGATTGCTCTTAGACAAGCTAAAGTTGATGTTGGTGCATGAGCAGTTGGACATAAAAGTATAATAGTCAGGTTTAACTAAAAGAAAAACCAAAAGTGCTTATTTCAACTTAAAAAATCATGAAATGTTTTTAGAAGATTAACCTTTTACACACAAATGATCACTAAATGGCACACATTGGTTGAGTGTTCCATTTAGATTGTCCTTTCAACACTGTTAAGTGAAAGAAAATTTGTTTCAACCAGTACAAAAAACACAGATGACTGTTAGTAGCATCAGAGGAGGAGCATCAAACAAATAAGAAAATCTACTAAAAGTTTATGAGTGCTCATTTAAAAATCCTCAATAATAGTCCTCTTTACAAGGAGGCTATATACTATAATGGGTTCAGGGGTTATCAAAAGCAAAGCTGAGTGTTGAGACGCCTACACCCTTAATTGCTGTACATATTATGAAGAAGTGACTGGCACCGAGGTCATTCGCCTTTTCCTGGCTAGATAATTTTTCTCCCGGGTCATGATGTCTCTGTCAGGCAAAATTCAAATCAGTAAGGCTCATACGAAAGGCAGAGTTTATCAGTGTCTAAATCTTGAAAAAAATTTCAGAATGCAATTTTGTGCCACAATTACCATGCTGAGCTCTGTGGTTTTAAAGTTATTTTACGAGCACTTAAACAATTTCTTATGACTGCTGACTTTTTAAAGCTGAAGTTCAGGGTTACTTGTGCCACTTATGGTGGACACAGAATGTCATTTTGGCTCAAAAGGTTAATTTTACTGGAGTTAAGGGTTTATAATCTCTAGAATTTATAGTTTTTTATACAATTGTTTGAGGACAGAATAGCAGAATCATTATCATATCAGTCAAGCATGGAATTTGATTGGAATCTGGACAAATAGGAACACAAGGAATGCAGTCTCATCTCTTTGTCAAATTTTTGTAAAACGTTCCAAATTAGTCAATCACTGTTTAAAATAATCACACCTTGTAGCTTTTGTTACATTTATTGTTACAGAACAGTCAAACTTGCCCTGCCTGAATAATTTTCAATAAAAAAAGTCTAAACTACAAGTTCAGTCAAAATGTTAGTCTTTAAACCACTGAGTACAGTGACATGGGTTACCACTCAGCCAGTACCATGTACACACTTTCACGTACCGATACTCAGACATACTTCACACTGTGCATCATTGCCACCAAGAGTGTAATATAACCAAACAGCAGCTGGGAGTACAGAGAGAGGCATTTATGATGCCACTTCTTCACCACTGGTATATAAAAGTCCACCTTATCATCTTCTCTGGTTTAGGCTCAAGGACAGAGTGTTGCGACATTATCTTTTAATGGTCTTCACTGTGGTGACATTTTGTGTACTTTGCTTTCCAAACTTTCAAATACATCTTATCACACTGAAAAATCAAATGGAAGGAAGACGTGTTTAATCATAAATTCTTCAAATTCATTCAAATTAAAAGTGAAACATTAAAAAAAGAAATGTACTGTAGCAAAAGTCTAAAAACATTCTGTGACCTTATAAGGACAACAGGACCATCTACTGTAAACCTTTAGAAATAAATAAACAAACAAACAAGCCATTATGATAAAATCAAGACATTGAAAGAATTACAATTAATTTATAAAAGCTTGAACACAACTAAATTACAAATATTTACAGTACAATGAAAAACTTATTGTAACTTTAACTGTAGTTAAAAGATTTCATCCTCACATTTATATAAAAAAATGAAAATAAAAAAAGTAAACACAAGGTTCTTTTAATCTGTTCAGTGTTGTAGACTAAAGTTGACCCTACTGGTCTTAATAATTGCACTGTGCCTGGAATTAAAAACAGAACAAACATCCTGCATGCACACTATTGACTGTGTTGAAATGTGTCCCCATTTTGTCCAGGTTTGGTGGCTTCCACTGCTCCACATTCACAACCAGATCTGAAGCTTGGTTATTAGTGCTTGGTTAATACTGACAGATGATTCTCTAGCTGATATGTATAATGTAATTAATCCATACAGGTGAGCAGACAGTGTAGACAGACAGTGGGGAAAAGAGCAGTCTTCAGAGTTCTTCAGATGTGAGAGTAACAAACATATGAACATTTCTATTGCGTAGCTAACACACTCAATAAGCTCCAGTGTTATAATACCATCAAAGTATCTCTTTGCAAGTACCTTGCTGGTTTGTTGCTTTCAATTATTTGAATGTCTTTGGCTCAAAACAAAGACAAAACCTCTCTATGACCTGGTGAAGTCTATGAGGTAACTGTGCAGTCTTTGTTGACACAATAATATTGCTGCGGTGCTAGCTAGGTGAACGATGGTCCATTTAAAGTACAAACAAAAGCACGTGGCTCGAGGCTGCACTGTGAAATTCAAAAGGAAGGTGGAGGATGGCTCCTGTGTGGGTGCTGATGCTCCTGCTTTAAGGCACCATAATAGCATGTTACTGATGTGCCTGCAACAACAAAGTACTAATAAACACAAGAGGAGGAACAAGGCAGCAAAACTTGACAGCATTCACGTGCACATACCTGCTATGGCTCACTCTCCATTGTCACAGAGACCGTCTGGCCTCCATCTGAAAGGAGACAGGTCACAAGAGATGTTTCAGGAACAGTTAAGGGTTGCTGTAAGAGGGGAAAAGTCCCACAAACAGCTCTTTGCATATACACCATGACGACAAATAACTGAAATGAGGGAAGGTGTCAGCAACACACCAATTTTCCCTTTGCTGTTGTCCACTGTGTGTTGTATGCTGTTACTGAGCACAGAAGTGTCGGTCTCCCCTTCAGCGGTGCTGTAATTACACAACAGAAGTCAACACCAAGCCAAACTGAAAAACATTTTGAATATTTGGAAGCAAAATAAAAACATACTAGCCTTTTCCCATTCTGCTGCAGGACACTGTTTGTTTGTTCAGGATCTACGTGTATCAATCTGGTAAGAAAGGACTGTCCATCTCCCAGACTGATTAAATATAGATTTAAAAAAAGCATTACTAAACATGTTAGAATTGGACTGATTAAGGGTTAACTGTGCATTTTGAGACTACATTTTCTTATCAATTCAAACAGCTTCAACATTAATGACACAGGGTGTTTGTAAGTCTGCTAATAAGCCTTAAGCACAGTGTAGACAAGGAGCAATGTGCCCATTTTTTCGTTCCTCGATTGATAACTGCAGCTTATTAGACTCACCTTGAGAAAACAGGGACAAACCAGTACTTTGCTTGATCTCCAAACACCTCAGCCATATTTCTGCTAAAGCCCAGAGAAAATCCATTTTTATCTGGACCATTTGAGAAGACAGGAGCCCTAAAGGCCTCTGAAAAGAACAGAAAGCTAGTGATGCCTTTCACAAGGAAATCAACAGTAGAATCAAATTACATACTGCATCTATTTATACTTACCTATAGTGGTCCTGTTCTTTCCTACGAGCCACAGATGGTAGCCGAGAAGTGACAGAATGCTAATAAAGAACAGGGCCGCCACGAAAAACAGAAACAAGATGTGGAATTTGGCCGGTGTGTCGGCCAGCTCGTTCTTCAGAGGTGTGGGAAAAAAACAAAACAAAAGAACAAAAATGTTGTTTGTCATCTTTATCTAACTGGCTGTAGTAAAGTAGTAGAGTGGAAAAGTAAATGTGATTTTGTTGCCTCAGTACAACAGCTCCTTTGCACAGGACAGATTAAGTCATGGGAAGCACCATCCATTAAAGGTCAGATTATTTTATTAATAGTATTTTTTACTTTAACACAATACTTCACTGTTGACGACATGACAGGAGCCAGTGTCTCACACAGAGTAGCATGCTCTGATACGTGATCACATGACACCTGTGCACCACAGTGACACTTCTGTAAACTGATCGGCTGATATGTTTTGACGCAGTCACATGCCTCACAACAGCACTTCACTTTTAAACAGATTTTAAAAACAAATAATGTTTGTCCTGGGCCATAATGGTGATATTTCTAAGTATAAAAGAAAGTATGTTAATGGTTTTCAACCCAAGGCCACCGACTGCCAAGAGGAACATAAAAAATCCTACAGCCATCTTCAGTAAACTGCAGTCAGAGCAAGCACTCACACCCGAGGAGACACACATTTAAAAATAATAATAAAAATAACAAGAGGGCATCTCTGTACTTACAGTCCAGAATTTGATGAAATATTGGACGACTGTAGCACAAAGGACTGCACAGTAGAGTGAGGCGTAGCCCAAGAACAGGATAAAGAACTTGTAGTTGGAGAATCCAACACAGTTATTCACCCTGACAGAAAACATGCAGAAACACGAGACAAAGCGTGAAATGTTTACGCTGACAATTTCAGAATAAACCACATCACTGGTTAAAGTGATTAACACTACAGTAGTGTTAAATAAGGCGACACAGTAAGCAGATCACGTTGAAATAAAAACCAGCTTAAGTGCATAGTCCAATGAGAACAGCATACCAGGGGCAGTGATGGTCCATTTTCAGCACACAGCTTGAAGAATGAGAATAAGAAAGACATACAAAGTATTAGTGAAATAACCAGTAACCATGACCATTCAATGTCTTATTTCAGCAACACATTTCTATTTTCTCTTCACTGTTATCATAAGCTGCAATTAATGTTTTCTTGGAGCCAGAAATAACGATGCTGGGAGATTTGGAAACATAAAATTGCAGTGAGAATTTCTTTAAACGAATCTGCTCCTTTGGGAAAAACATTTCAGCACATTTGACTCATGTGTGAGCCACATGCTTAGAAGAACAACAACAACATCATTTGTGCACAAGTGAACTCACGCAATTTCCTCAAAAACTGCTCAATCACATCCTCATCTCTCCACTAAGCCCCATCACTCTTGTTGCTCTCCTCCTTTACTGGTCTGTGAGGTGCCAACACTAAATGATGATCACTCAGGGGAGTGAGCGTATTTACAAAACCACATGAATTTGGATCTAGCCATTCTGACAGCGGTCAGAGATTGGATATGAACCTGAACTAGGCCCACATATGATTAGAAAAAAAAAAAATCTGACTGCGTGTTCACACATCCACGAAAAGATCAGATATAAGTCATTTATAAGGGGAATAAATCTGATTTGACTCACTTCAACAGGTTATATGAAATTACTCACATTTCACAGGTTGAGCAGTGATGGCAGCGGTCAGGTTTAATGACCTGGCAGGGGTCACAGTATCGGACAGCTATTTAGAGAAAATGAAGGCAGAATTAGTAAAGTACTCCTGCACAGCTACTGCTTTTTGTCACCCCTGCCCCCACACACAGTAGTCTGACACTATATAAAAACACAGCACCATCACTGTGTTTGTGAGGAAGTCAGTCTCGTCAAATGTCCCTATGAAACCAAGTGAGCCACATGACTGTTGATGAGCCAGGTGAGGCCCGTAGAGACAATGAGCTCAATTAACCCCCTTGATACATGCAGCTCTAGAAACACAAATAATCTTACAGTGTCACAGAGCACATTCTTTTATAAATGTAGAAACAGTGTTGCATTTTTATCCAAAAGGGGAAGATTCAATGAAAGTAAAACGTTTATGCTGCTGTAATTCTATTGCTTAATTAATGTTGTGCATGTGAGTGACAAACATGAACTGAACGAGGAGGAAGTGGCTCTGTGTCCTTCCTTCTTTGCTAGAGGTAACGGTGTCAACAGTACAACAGTTGTCCCTGGTGATCTGCCTTCAGGAAGCTACTTAAAAGCAATCTAACCACAGCCACTTAAGCTGCTGTGGTGAAAGCCTCACCTCCTCCTGCGGTGCGTGTATACACAGGCAAATTCCTCACAACTTTCTTCAGAACCTCTTGCTGCACCTCAGCTCGCTCTTCTCTCTCAAACAGTTCCTTCTCTGCTCTGGGTAGACCAAACTGACAGAAGGAGAAATGACTGCAGTCAGACAATACGTTGGATAGCTGTGCACGATTATGGTTAAATTATTATCTTTCTATCCCAAATCATTTTTCTTCTCTTGGCTTACCATTTTTGAGGGGCTGGCTGGTCTGAACCAGATCGTTTTCCAGTAGGACCATATGAACATGATGAGTGAAATGTGAAAGATTACCAGATAGCTGACTGTTGAGAGAGAAAGATAAGTTTGATTTGCAGCTACACTGGCATTTGACATAATCTATTAATAAAAATGTGAGGGGAACTACATCATGTGGCTTAATAAGTAACGTGAATGGAGAAAATGAACAGTGTGTGGGTATCACTTACTTCGTTCTGCATTATTTGGGATTGTATCTACATAAAGCAAAGAAAATATATTATTAGTGAGCTAGGAATCCATTACTACACATCCCCCACCATGCACACACCACCCTTTTCTCACACCATGTGGCAGCAGCCTGGCACGGCCAGCGGTGACCCACCCATAACAGAGAGCTTTGTTTAAGCTGCAGGGATGTCCCTGTCCTGACCACAGCTGCTACAGACATAACTACAGTGAGTCTACATGCTGATAATGGTAGCATTAGTTCCAGCCTGGAACAAAAGATAAAATCAACCTTCTGTAACTGTGGGGGCAGAGCATGTCATGGCACAAACGATCTATAGCCATCTGCTGAATAATAATACAATACTCATGGCCACTGAACTGCTTTCAGACCTGTTTGTTTAAGTTTACAACACCGACTCGGGCGTATGCTAAATAAATAAGTATGTTTGATGTTTGATTGTGAGACAAAAATAAGAAATCATATCCACTGCTGAATGATGAATGCATTCATTGTAAAACAAGTGATTTAACTGAGAAAATTGACCAGTGTTTCTGCACCTAATTCATTCAGTTACAGGTGAATCTCAGTCAGTCCCTACTGTTTGTTCAACTACTGTTAAAACAACAGTTTAAAATAAATTACGAAATAATCATTGCCCTTTGTAAAATGCCAACGTGTGTTTAATTGAGATAGAAAATATATAGACCTGCTTAACATGTAATGTATGAAAATTAAGGCTAAATATCACAGAAACACGAGAGAGAAAAACATACCGAATTTAAAAGAACTTCTTCAGCAGCTGTGCAGGAAAAAAACAGCTGAGGGGGTTTAAGTCAGCTGACATTAGATAACAGCACCAGGAAATAAACTTAAAACTTAAAAAGTTTGTTCATTTACAATCCACTGCACAGTTTAACAACTGAAATGTCTGAGAAGGTTTCGGCCTTTCACACCTTCTCCCCGTTCAACTGGCTCTTAACTACAGTATATATCTGCTGTTACCTGATGCATTACAATTACCACCAAGTTATTGATTATTAATTCGTAACGGGAAAAGCTAACCACACTCCCAGTCTCACTGAAAAGGGCTTCCCCGTTATATTAACATTATATACCATGCTACCAGGAAGAAATGCGTATGTGAATGATTAAACAATCAGAAATAAAAGGATGTGGAGCTGCAATAAGATAACGTTATGAAGTGTGCAGCCTGGAGGTGATTTAAATATCACTTCAACCAGTTTGTCAAAGTTGGCAACCCTGAAACTGGCAACACCAGCAGATGTCCGCCCCCGCCGTAGCTAAATACTTGCAAATAAGCGAGTGTACTTACAGACACAGAGCTCCACGACATAAGCGTAATAAGACCAACCGACAACCAGGTTAATAAACAGCACAGGTATCCAGTTCAGAGCCCGTTTACAGCACCTCAGCGCGTGAGAGGGCGCCATCTTTAATCGGTGTTGGCTTACGGCGACGTCATAGCCATGGTTTTAAAGGATGAGAATAAACTAGACCCGGACAGTCAACGGGAGCATGCGCAAGAATATTTGTAGTTCTTATGCGTTTGACGTTAAGTGTGTTTTATGTACATTTTAAAGTATATTTTGAATTTTTACAGGCGACATTGTAGCCTACACAGCAGTCTTCTACAGAATCTTCAGATAATAAAACACAACACCTGCTCAAAGTCAATGTCATGTTTTGACTACCAGCCATATCTCAGCTTGCATGTTTACCTGCGTTAAAAGGGCGATTTCAGGTCAAGTGGAGCAGTTTTAGGTACAGTTCAACTAAACTGATGTTATTGTTGTTGTTTTTCTATATAAATTGGTCAACATGGCTACAATTAAGGGGAAAGTTACAGTAGATTACTATTTGGACAGTTACACATTTTTGCTCTTCAGGCTCTATACTTCAGTACTTTCAATTTGAAATAAAATAATGAATACTACATTAAAATGCCATGTCTTGGCTTTAACTCTGGAAGGTTTGCATCAAATTGGAAAGAACTGTAGTATATGTGCATCATTGATGTACATATAATGTCATTGTCATTGAGTCATTGAGTCATTGCTGAGCAGTTGTGTCCCACTCCGCCTAAAATCCTCTGTCCCACTTTATCTAACACAGGCTGCAGCTGATAATGCTTTAAATGCTTTAATGCTTTAAATTAATTTGTCCGAAAATATCTTTTAGCTATGCACAATTATTTTCTGTGCTTTATGACATTAACACTATGAACATAAAGTAGGATTTAAATTGTTGTTTTGATGTCAGCCTTATAAATTCAGTGATTTTATGGAGCTTATGTCAAAAAACTCAGTGTATAACTGCAATAATGGCTTATTTTGGCCACTTGGGGGCAGACGAACTCCACAATAAACCCAAATGTCTGACTGGTAGTGTATTTATTCAGCTACTACACATTTGGAAGAGCAACAAATGACTGCGGGCAAATCACAATAACAATTTTAATGCTCTTTTCAGTAAATAAACAAACAACTCATTGTACATGTCTACTGTAAGAGGAAGCAGCCTTGAGAGATGAGCGGGCCCCTTTTTTAGTTGAGGAGGGTGAGGATGGAGAGGAAGGAGGGGAGAGAGAGGAGGGGGAGGCAGAGGCAGGGGAGGAGTCAGGAGAAATGGAACGTCTTCTGGTGGGACTGCTGCTGGGGGAGCCACGGGGTGACGAGTAGGGGGAGAGGGCCTGGAGCATACGACCACTCCGCTCCTGAATCACATGCTAAACAAGGACAGACAGAAGACGGTTTTACTGTGCTGTGATGCTGTGTGTAATATAATGCTTCAGTGAATTAGTTCGTTCTGAAATGTACTGTGACCTGTCTTTTCTACTCACATTTATCCAACCTGCCATATTTATTTATACACCATTAACCAGCGTGCCTTCACCAGACTGGCTTAAAAACTGTTAAGTTGTCAGTTATATGGTATAATAAAGTTCATTGTATTGTGTAAGAGATTTTGGCACATTGGCCAAACTTCCTGATTGCAATTAAAGTATTTATGTACTATAATAACATATGATGTAACTATCACTTTAGTCATTTTGATTTGAAGGAAAATATCTAAACACAGTGATTATGAGGCAAGATTTGAAGTGAGAGGGCCTTTTCCCCCTATTTTGTCTTGTTTGTTTCATCTGTAGTAAAAGTCAAGTGAAAAACAACACCTTGTGCTTTTACAGGGGATTTACAATATGTGTTGGACTGTTTCTTCTTGGTTATAATATGTGTTGGACTGTTTCTTCTTGGTTATATATTTAATCAAGATTTATCAAACTAATATAAATATAACACTAAACAAGAAACTTTGCCTCAAAATGAAAGGTTCTGTAACTGGCTCACAGTAAGAGGGATTTTTCCTTGAGTAATATAAAAGCAAACTTGCCCAGGCTCCATCTGGTCCAAAAAGCTCCAGGAAGCTGCTAATGAATTCTCGTGACTTCTCTTCCCACTTAAGGATAAGGTCTTGGCTCTTTTCTTCCACTCTGTAGACAAAATGTTTGGATTTTTCCTCCACATTACGGACTGTCTCTTTCATCTTGTCCACCTGGTTCTGGAGCCGGTATTTCTTCTCCTGTCAGAAATAGACAAAGTTTCTGTATTGTGGTAAGTTTCAAAAACTCCAAAAACAGTTTATTAAATATGATTTCTCTTACCTTAATGAATCCAACATTTAGTTCTTGGGCTGTGTAGCCTCTTTGCAAGTTGCGACGGACATAGATGTCGTAGTCTCGGACGATACGAGTGATTAGATCAGATGTGGAGATGCCCTCTGTCCTCTGAGTGGCCACAAACATTCCTGACATGGATGCACAATGCAACACATGTAATTCATTCAAGTGACACAACAAAAGACAGAACTAGAATTCCTTATGTTGGGTCCAAAGTATCTTCACCTGCTTCCTTGATGTGCTTATAGACGTCCTCTGAACCAGCAGAGGTGTAAGGGATATCATCATGGGCCACAAAGTCAATCTATGTGTGTAACATGATAGTATTCAGATTGGTTGAACACCAGCTAGCTTTGACTGTGTGACACTGTATGATACTGTGTGTCCAGTGACTGCATGACCTTTGACCTTATGTTTCTTGAGGAACTCTGTAGTAAGGGTCCAGGGAGCGTCTCGCACCACCTCATCGACATAACGACAGTGCCTCAGGGCTTCGTAGCGTTCGTCTTCTGTCATCACTGTGAAACCCTTTAACTTGTGGGTGAGTTCATCACTGCAAACTAGGTACACAGACACTTACTGTACATGAGATTTCTTACCTTCAATCCGAGACTTTATCAGTAATTAAACTGGAAGATTTACTGAAGATTCTTAGTATTAGCTTTTGCTATGTGTTTTTACTGTAAGTTGCTGAGAGAGGGAGCCAGATTACTTTACCTCCTACTATCAGATAAGTGTTGGGGAACAGATTTTTGGCCTGCATCAGAGCTCTAGCATGTCCCGAATGGAAGAGATCAAAGATCCCATCAGCATAGACTCGCACTGGACGATGAGCTACAAGATAAGAAATCCGAAAACATGTCATACAAAACCCAACTGTAATTTACAGAGAATTCCTGCAATAGTATTTTGAAGCTGATACCAATGTCTAATAGAATAGAATAGAAATCTTTATTGTCATTACACTAATGTCAACAAAATTTATATTGTAAGCTCTCTAGTAGACAACAAAACAAGACGTTATGAAATCTAGAAACTAGAAATAATAAAAACTAAGATGTGTACTAAATATACAGGTGCACTTTTTTAAGTGCCATTGTAGTAAATATACAACCGGACATTATAACAACTAAAACCAGAATTGATAAAAAACTTAAAGCATATATGAATATATATGCAAACTCATAACAGGTGTCACTTGAGTTAAGAGAAGTGGCTTGGTTAAGAAAGAGGAATCATTACCCTGTCTTCTGTGGGTTTAGGGTAAGATTGGTGATCGCTCTGTGATAAAAACTATGTTTGAATCCTGAGCTAGATGCCTTTAATGCCCTGTACTGCCTTTTAGATGGCAGCAGAGAGAACAGGTGCTGGTAGGGGTGGGTTTTGTCTCTCAAGGTTCTCATTGGTTCTGCGGAGGCAGTGAGGTCTGTAAATATCCTCCAGTGAGGACAAGGGGAGACCCATTATTTCCTGTGGAGTCTTTACTACTCTCTGAAGAGACTTCCTGTCTGCAGCTGTGCTATTACTATGCCATGCTGTTATACAGTTAGTACGAAGACTCTCTACAAAGCAGTGATTTAAAAGACAAAAGTAGTTGACTAGGCAGTTTGATTTTTCCAAGTGCCCTTAGGAAATAGAGCTGTTGTTGGGCTTTTATGACCAAGGCGATGCAGTTATTAGTCCGAGTCAGATCGTTCAAAATATGGACTCCCAAGAACTTAAAGTCTGAGGCAGTCTTCACTTTTTTCCCTTCAATGTCCAGAGGTGAGAGATCAGTATGTTGCTCTCTGAAATCTATAACAAGTTCTTTTGTTTTCCTGATATTCAGAGACAGGTTGTTCTCCTTGCTCCAGCTGACCAGGTTAGACACTTTATAGGGTATCTCATCCACATTTGAGATTAATCAGACAATAAGGAACTAAACTTTTTTTATTCGGTTGCTAATATGTCATATGACGTGATACACTTCTGGAGAAAAAGGAACAAGCCCCCAATCAGCCAAATAACCAGACGTTAAACCATGTTTAGCTGATAAGTCACTTTTTACAGCTGATGTCAGCTGAAACCAATATATTGTAGTGATATACTGTATCTCGAGTTAGTAATTCTCATACTAGTCATCCTTTACTCCTAGTTGTCACTGGCCTGGACTGACAGGATGTGAAGATACTCTTAGTACCCTGACACTAATTAGTAATAGAAACAAAGACTAGTGAGAACAGTGACCTGGTGTGCCTCTCCGTGCTTGGGCAATGGTCAGCTTTTCATGGGGGATCTCTGATTCACAACCTGTAGACCTGGCAAAAGCAGCTGGCTCCCTCAGAGCCTGAACACAGGGGTGAGAGAGAGACAGGACAGGAAGTAAACACATTATGTTTGATCAAATGATGTATCTCCAGTTCAGCTTATTTGTTGTTTAAGCCACTTATCCTTTTCGCATCATTGGCAGTAGCATCTGGTGACAGAAAAAGCACAATCTGAACTAGTTGCTATTAAAACAATAAAGGTCAAGTTTTCAGTTTATCTAATCTTCATGTTTGTGGCCCGTGGTAAAAGAAGATGTTACTGGGGGTCATGCTGCATTCAAAACACAATGTACAGCAACAAAGTAAATGCAAAATTTAGAGTTCATGCGATATTATTGGTTTATTTTGATGACAAGGTATTGTGCATTTGCAGGTTGAGGGTCCTCTTTGGATTTGACATTGTTAAAAAAACTGATATAAAACAAATTAAACTTTGATAAAATCTTTCAGGCAGCTGTGAATCATTTCAGCACTCTTAAGTAATGTGTGTCTTGATATGTCATGGACTTTGTGTGGTGTGCAGATACATATCTGATGTGTTGTAGCATACTTTGAACCCTTGTCCTGATTGAAACATCTGGTGATTCCTGTGCTGTGTTTGGAAATGTTCTTCATGGGACTTTGAGAATGGTAATAATTTTGGCACGCTTCAGTGCATATATATTGGTCTGTATTTTTGTATATTGCATATTTTTCTCTTAGACCTTATATTTAGCTATGATTTTACTCTTTATGTCTTCAAGTAAGTCGTCAACATACATGCAGGCCACAAATGTTTCCTTACTGACTGACATAGTTCTTTGACACATTTACAGCACTAAAACCTGATTTTAATATTTCTGCAGTGATTGCATTTAACTTCAAGTGCTTAGAATAATCATGTATTCCTGTACTATATTGCTACTCACCCAGTGATTCGGTTAACTCTCACCTCTCACACACGAGCCAAACAACCACACAGAAAACATTTGCTTTTCTGTTAGGCAAGACAAGTTTATGTATATAGAGTATTTTCATACACAAAGGCAATTGAAAGTGCTTATCACAATGCATGCTGATAGATAAAACATTCAAACGCATAAATAAAATGCTCACATAAAACAATATCAGTTTGTTTCATTCATTGTACTTGTACCTTTGTTCTCATTCCCAGTGTCTTCACTAAATGATATCTAAAAAACAAATATTGCACCACACTCCCCTTTAATTGAGTAAATGATTATCATTTAAAATGTAAGAATAAACACAGTGGTCACGTTTTCTATTGACAGAAGAGGACTTACCCTGCGAGGGCCTCTCTGGTTCTGTGCGGCATGTTGTTGCTGCATGTTGCTGCCTCGGCCTCGTCTCCTTCCAGCCATCTCGGATGTTCTGCTTCACTGCCTGATACTGCCACCACTGCACCCACCTACCACTCCTCTCAGCTGGCTGAACTAGTGCACACAAGTGATTTCGACGCTTGGGAATGTTTTTAAGTATTCATCCAGTTGGCCTACCTAACCCTGATGACTGGATAATGTAGCGAGCAAAGTTCAAGCCACTCTGGTAAAGTTACTCAGGCAGGTTGTTTGCACTGGTCATCAATACTGAGTTTGTGCGAACTTTCACTTTCTCCATGTGGTAACACTGAGACTTAGTAGTAGGATGGCCTATGTAGTGTTACACTGTTAATTTCCATACACTTTATGTAACAGTCCAGCTGGAAACGACTGAGAAGTGCTAATGTTTTGAAACATTTCTCACATTTCCACCAGACTGTGGCTGGAAGGGAACAGAGGTTGCTATTATTGCAACATTTTGTGCAGAGAGAAACCAAATTAGCTATAAAAGAAAGTGCCCAAAGCTTTTACACTGGCAACCTTTGGAACCAAACAGAGGGAAACAAAACATCTTACATCCTAACATTTCACCAAGCCGTCACACCAAGCCAACAGTGCTATGCTGGATGCAAACTGAATTTCTATTCAGGTGAATCTCAACAGCAGTGTCGTTGCAAGCGAGAGCAGACGTCTTTACTGCTCTTCTTGTCTGTTCTACGATTTTTCACATCTTCTACATTTTCAAGTCTTTGAACAAATTCCACAACTTTTAAAATGCCTCCAAGAGGGAAAAGAGATAATAAATGAGATGTGAATGAGGAGGTTGAAGCAGAAGAGGATTATATTTCAGCGGCGCAAGTAACAGAGATGTTGAGTCAGCAGAAGCAGATGTACACCGCACTGTTGAGCCAACAACAAGACAACTTCAAAGGTTTTGTGCAACTACTTATGGAGACAAATAACAAGAGACTCGACGACATGACCAGAGAAATACAGGAGATAAAAACGAGTTTGCAGTTTACCCAGCGAGATGTGGATGTGATTAAAGCAGCCATGGGTGAACAGAAAATACAAACCAAGGAAACAAGGGATG